TGTCTTCCTAGAAACCAGATCTGAACAGATCTGCCCTCCTCTCCATTCTCCCCTTTCCCTCCTGACCCTGCACGGAGCAGCTGGGACAAAGTCTTCACTATGCACAAGCAGGCAGCAGCTCTCCAGAAAACAAAAAAGCTAGGGCTTGCAACAACAACTGTATGTAGACACTGGAAATAACTCCCCATCACCACATTTTCCATATTGTCACTTCCTTCTGTTTTGTGCCACATCATATGCTTTCTTAAAAGCACAAATTGCAATACTTAAGATGCTGCTTTTTGACCCAGGCTGGTAACGGAGGCTCTGTAGGAGCCTCTGAAGGCATCAGGTGGAGCTCTGTGTGAGGGCTGGGGCTGTTACTGAGCCTCCTACAGCACTCTGGAGATCAGAACGAAGCCAGCAGAGGTAAGCATAGGACACCCAAGCCACCTTCTGCTTCCTGCAGCTAAGAAAATTAAAGATTAAAGCCAACTGGAGAAATGCATTTGCTAAATGTATTCCCCACTCGTATGATTGGGTTCCTGGCTTCTCAGGTTTCCAGGTTTAGTTTCCTCTTTTTCCCTCTGTGCAAAAAGGCACAGGAAATTTCAAAGGGTGACAAGAGAAGGGAAAGCAAAAGACCTTACCTTAGACAAGCAATGGCCAAATACATTTAAAAACAGCCAATACTTTTCTGGACAAAAGAAGACACTGCAACAGAAACACAAGCAATCTTTCAGAGCATTATAACAATTTAAGAGCATAATAAATTCACTACATTTTGTCTTATTGTATTAACAGACAGTTTACAGAGAGAAACACCTTGACAAATGCTGAAATCAAGAAATTCTAATCCCTCCTCAGATTTGTCTTCTTTTGTCTAGTTACAACAAATTAGGTTTATCTTGTTCAATAGACTGAATATATTTCTCAAGCTAACCTAACCACTTGCAAAGTAAATCCTGGAATTTCCGGAAATCACACCTGCTAATGTTATTCTCCTTTAAGTCATCATTTGTCATTTTGTCAGAAGCATGTAACTTCGTATCACCATGTTCTTACAGTCAGAGGCTTATCAACTCATTAGGTTCTTTCCACCCTTGCTGGAGACAAAAAAACAAACAAGGATCTTAATTCTCAGGAAGGAGTCCGTTCTTTTCCCCTCTAAATTCAGGATAGCAGTTAGGTGGACTAAAATCTGCTGCTTTTCAGTAGTTTGTTTCCCTTTTCCAAGCAGAAAATTTGTATTTTTAGTCACTGTAACTGGGCCAACAGGCCTTCATTCAGTATTTTCTCATCATTTTATTTGAAGTTCAAGTCACAGATCTTTCCCTTTGCATTAAATGATATTTAAGTTATAGCAAACTCAATAGCCCCAAAATACAAGCTGAACCGAGGGAAAACAGGAGTGGCAAAGCTGCCAAATGTAATTACAAGGACACCAGTGACGCCTAGGGGCTATGGAGGTGGGAGGAACTCTGACAGACTGTTCCCAGCAGTTCTGCAGTATGAAGCAAGCCATTATCTCCAGTGCTGACATAAGGCACATCACCAAGGAGGAGCACGTGAACACTTGACTTCACATTTACCTTGTACTTTTACTATATTTGCCAAAAATAACCAGAAGCAAAACTAACTGTGTAGTGTTACTCGGTAGTTTATTGCATCAACTTCATTTATAAAAAAAATTAATCCAAATGCTAGTATAGTACCTGATCTACTGAGCTGCACAAGACATCCTGTACATGTGCATGACACTTGGATCTGTAGTTCTGTAAACTGCTTCATCAATAGATCTCTCCTCTGCATGTTTAACTAAGGAAGGAACCAAGGTGCTATTAGGACAAAAGTGTTTCAGACATCACATACACTGCTCATGTATTTAGGCTCAATTCAGAAGACTTCAAAGGAACCTGGATACTGCCTTGAACAAGCATCCTTTAAAACGCATGTGTCAGCAACAAAATGCAGAGCACTACAATTCTACTCTTGCTGGGAAAGCAATTCACCTGCACGGTGAACTGTCTTGTGGTACAGGAACATCTTGATTTTGCAGCACGCAGATGTATCTGGGTCGCTCATGACCAAACCAGGGTTTGCACCAGCTTGTTGTTTCAAAAAAACACAAACCTCTCAAAGTCGTGGAAAAAAAAGAGACCTGATGAGGGTCTCATAACCAGAGTACCTCCTAAATGTGAGGGCAGTCCAAAGTAGCATCACACATCCATTAAGCTACATCACTGTAAAACAGACATCTTTCAGCCTCCCCATTTCCTTTACTCAAGAGTATAAAAACAAGAGCACTCACAGGGAAGTATGCTAGCTTGACAAGTTTCAGCAACCTTCAGAACACTTGACACCTCACACCACAACAGCAGACTCATCACCATTTGTACAGTGCAAATTCAATAGGTATAACCAGAATTCTCCACCTGTAAGCTGCCACATAAAACCACAGAAAGCTGCAGGAGAAAAGGTTCCACAGCTGACCACCTTCTGGTGGTTCTGAACAACAAACACAGAGAACTCAGCTGTGTTCTTCCATGTATTAAATTTGTAAATATTTTCAGAGCCACTAGTCCATATGAAGATTCAACCTTCCATTTGACCACTAGCCTTACAGGTCAGACAAGCTGGCAACAATTTTATATCAGCACAGTAAGACACCACTAACAATATCTTCCGAGTTCTTCACTTTGAAATAGCAGGTCACATATTACCAGGAATCCATGCATTTTTGCTTCTTACATGGAGTAGAAGGCTCAAGAAACAAAAAGGCAACTAAAAATATATCTGTTTTATTTACCAGTTTTCTAAAAAGCAAAGTCATAAAAATTAGTCACAAGTGGCAAAACCAAAATATATTGCACAGTGTACAGAAAACGTTGACATGTTGACAAATTGTCATCACAAATAAGTCATCTTACAACAGTTTGGAAAAATTACAGCTTCAGAATCTTATCTATAAATGGAGGCATGTAAATTTGAAGTTACAGGAAAATATTTTAATACCACCCTGTAAATGCAAACACTTTAAGGATGCAAGATTAAGTCCATAATTAAGCACATCCACAAAATGCTCTAAATATACTTCTCTCTTCCTTTCACTAAGTTATGGTTACAAGATGGTAATGAAAAAAAAAGAGAAAAAAATGAGAACAAATAAAAAATAAACCAGAAAAAAAATGTGTGCTAAAGCAAAGAAGTTCAAAGTGGTTGAGAAGTCCCTGAAAATAATTTGTGTAATTGTGATTGATGCACTCCTTTACATAAAGCTTTTTTTCCCAAACCCTGGTCCAATTAAAACTGTGTTTACAAGTAAAAATGGAATATATGTACTATGTTGGTATAGCTGCACTGCTCCATTTATGATGAAAACATTTAGTAATACCAGACCTGAACACCAACATTTTAAAATTTCTCATTTTGTTTATATTTACATATATTTAAGTTTGATCTTGCTAAACTAGTAAAGTTAGGAACCAGCTGTTGCAGAGTAGTGCTTTGCACTACATTTTAGTGACTAATTTTTCAAACTGTGATTCTACTTGTTTCACAAGTTCACACACTCTGATATCTGCAGATTCTGTCTCTCAATCAGATCTCCTCCTGACACTGTCAATGAATAAGTTATTTTACACAAGTTATCTTCCACTAAGTACCAGTCACTTTGGCATTTTTGGTGATGTCAGATATAACTTTGCATCCTCTTCGTATGCAAAGAGAAATATTTTTATAGAATGAAAATAACCTTGAATTTCAGCGAATAGAAAAGATATCCTAATAAAAAAGGAAATGCTTCCCATGAAAAGTATTTTAAGACAAAGTTAATTGCATTTCTCCATGTGTTTCACCCCAAGACTTAGAGCTGACATCTAGCAATACTGCAAATGTCTTTTAACTAACCAAGATATAAAAGTTACTCCTTTGTGTTCTCTTCCCACATCCAACATGTATAAACAGCACAAGAACATAAAGTACATATATTCAAGTCAATAGTATCTCAGAGGCATTGAAATTGAATCATTGACAGCAAAGACTCCAGCCACACAAGGTTTTAGGCTATGCAATTCAAACAGAGCGAAACTCAGCACTATTCTCAAAATCACTTCTTTTTTAGAAAAACTACCTTCAAATGCCAAGAGATGTCCAATTCTCTCTTGCCACATACAAGTTTGATATTTCTTTAGCCACACAGGAAAAACTGACAGCCAACCTCCAGACAGAATATATTGGAAATAAAGCTTGAAGTTATACCAAACTTGGTCTAACAGTCACTGGAGCATACACAGTCATCCTCTGTGGTCTTAGATTTAAAAATGATGCTTCAAGGTAACAGTTCATAGTATTTAGCATCCATTTAAATAAAAGGCTACAAAGTTGTTAGCACTTGTCTATACTTTCTTACACATTCATGTAAGTATTTTAACCCAGGACCATCTTACAAAACTGGTTCAACATTTCTCAAGAGACAAAAATGGCTCCAACATTCAAAACTATAGAAAACAAAGAGGATGGAATCAACTGGTACATGAGAAGGGCAAGTGTGAAATTAATTGCCTGAAGGTTATTTCTTCTACTGGTGGACCACTTCAAATATTAAGAACAATGCTGAAAAGCCACTAAGCAAAATTGCCAGAAGAATTTATAATGCTGAATCATTACCAAAAGATTTGAAGAACCGTATGTATGTAAAGGGATTTTCAGTACTCATTAACCTACTCTACAAAAAACAGTAGGCATCAATGAGAGTGTCTTCAGTTCATAAAGAAATATTTGAGGCATATAAGTGCAAAATATGAGTCTCTTTTTCAAGGAAAAGCTATACCATCTTCAACAATGTCCTTACTGGGAAGAGTGCCACCATTTAAAAAGAGATTCATTCACAAATGACTCCCCTAGAGCAAGAAAAACACATTTGTTTTTATGAACCAGATTAATCTTGCTGGATACAAGATTAAAAACTTTATGGATCATCACTAGTTTTGAAGCAGCTTTGAAAACACGAGGCTTAAAGGCTATGTTTGTTCTTCACTGACTTGACTCAGGGAAACCAAGTTGTTTTCCCCACTGTCTTCAATCATTTCATTAAGGTCCATTTCATGGATTTCTTCATCATACGATGTATAAAAATTGCTCTGTATATTGTCTTCACAAAAAATACATTCCTAAAAAGAAAATTATAGAAACACTGATAAGTCAAAGAAAAAAACCACAACCCACAGCCTTTTCCAAACAACAGTCTATTTGCATGTGATCCTTGATTCCAAGGGAACCATTACATCTGTGCTGCAACTACCAGAGATACTCCACTCTCCAACTTCTGTCCACTCATCTTTTTATAATGTGGAGTAAAATCAATGCACGTACTTGAGAACCCTAGTGGAAGGAGTTAAGTAATAGATCATTTATAATAGTGACATTTTACATGCTCTTCCAGTCACCTTTTCCTCCATTTCATTGCTAACCCTGCAGGAATACGTTGGTGTCAGCTGCTGTGCTTCACAGGCTGAAGCAACTGCACATTTACACAAGTGGGATGCTGTAGTATCAATGTTGCAGTAGCATTAGCATCAGGATTAGGATTCCACTGCAATTATCTTGCTTTTTAAATACTCTGTGCAAAAAGAGCCTCTACATTTGGTAACTTCTGTGCAAAAATGCTGCAAATGATAGAAAGCTTAGGGAAAAGACAACATAATCAGGTATTTGTGTGTAAGTGAAATACACAGACAACAAATACAACTACAAGGAATCTTTGTTCAGTTTTCTTTTTTGCTTTCCAAGCCATTAATCCACTTCTAGAATCAAGGCAAGAGAGAATCCTACATGAGGAGTCTGACAGAAATAAGGAACAGTGTACTCCCATTAAGTTTGTACTTTACAGAAATCAACATGCATGAATTTCTGCACACAAAATAGAGATTTTTATGTAGTGATATTTCTGGCTGTGTTACTAGATGATTTTAAACAGATACACTGAAATGTAGAAAGAGGAAAGGAATTTCTTATCTTCTATTCACCACTAATTTGACATTGCCATTAGAAAAACAACCTATGGCAAATTAAATCAGGCCAGAAGCTACTGCATTAAAGTTTTAATTAATTATTTTTTTTTTGTTCTGCATACTTCACCAAGCTTTAATAGCAATGGGAATGGAAACGTTTAACACAGGCAGATAATCATCTAAGTACTGTTATACACGGAAAAGTAACAAGCTAATTTAAACTTACTGAAGTAGCAACAGTTTTTGGCAGTCCACCTTGCTGGATCCATGGATGAACTTCAATAAGCTCTCTCTTTTGTTCTTCTGTAAATTTTGGCTGTAGTTTCTGCATTTGCTTTAATTTCTGCTTATCTTCTTTTAAAACTGTTTCCAAATCACTAAAATAAAATATATTTAGAAATTGAGACTCAACAGTTTCTGGACTTCATGCCTATATAAGGTTACACAGTCAAATATTAATGTTTCTAAACACTGTTTTTGTTATGGAATGTTAAGCTTACAACTCTTATACTAGAAGACAATTATGTGTGGTTATTTCAGCAGCTCTCTGCATTTGCAGACAACTTTAATGCTTCTCTATGGGCTCATAGTCTTTCCAAATCCCATCAATGAAAATAGGTTTCTTAAAGCCATTCAGGCAGCACCACCGATGAAACCACTGAGAGCTCTAGTTTCCCTCTGCTGCTGCTGCAATGAGTTCCAATTTCCCCTTCACTAGAAGGACAACCCAAAACAAACACTAGATGCACATGAGAAGATGACACATATGTTTAAGGTCATCATAAATGGGTTAAACTTCAGGACTGAGGAAGAGATTCTAGTACCCACTTTGATTCAGAAACTTAAAAACACCTGCACCATGCCAAACATTTACAAGCTGTATACCTCTATAAAAGATGACAATAGAAAGCAAGTTCCAAGAACCTCAGTGCTATTTCTGTTCCTTAAAGCATACCTAAGAATAGGCTGGCTTTACCCATCTCAGGTATCGCCCTCTGTCAGTGAGTTTAACTCTCTTTATCACAACATCCTGTTTTGTACTAATATTTTCTCTTTGGCAGGCTTTGCTATTTTTACAGTCTACTGGAATTCCCACCTACAGCTGTTACCCCTTCAGGCTACAAAAACTGAGAAATGCCAAGGTATTTCTAAAGCTAGGGAAAAATTCTGAAGTCATTAGTGTGTGTTTTTTATTTTTTCCCATCATCCCTGCACTTCTGAAAGCTTACTTTCCTTCCCCTTCAAAGACTTGTCTTTACTGAAACTGCCTTTTTCTCTCCAAGTATCATCCACTGCTACAAAAAACAAACAAGAAGATTAAAAAACCTGCAAAAAATCTCACAAGTCTCTCTCCCAACATCTGCTCTTTGCTATAGAAGCAGAGAATTTTTTAAAAAAATTATTTTAATCAAGTTTTTTTCTAATAAAAAACATGCAATTTTTACCTATTTGAATGAGAATTTACAGAGAAGAATGAACAGGTAGAAGTTAACAACCCAAGGGAAAAACCCACATGCAGAGAAAGCAGTATGCCACTGAATATGCCATCTAAAGGACAACAACCAGGGAGTGCAGATTTTCTGTTTACTGACCATCATCAGATCTAAGCACACTCGCTAAGACCTATTACTCAGACTACAAGTATTTCTACGCAAGTAGTTACAAAATCACTAAGTACAAAATAGCTTCCAAAAATATGCACAGTTAATTTAGACTGAGATAATCTACCTGAAACACAGGTAAGCCTAATCAAATATTTTTTAGTTTTTGGGAACTTCTTGTGTAGTATGCAAAAGATACAAAAAGCAGCAAGAATTCTTGTCACAGATTAACACTGAAATCAATTTACATTTATTGAGACAGAGGTTCATATATATTTATATATATTTCCTTCTTTGCACCCTGTCCCCCCCCAACATATACAGTTCATGAAGGACTACAACTGTGGAATTACCGTGAAGGTATCTGGTAAGTCATCATAACAGTGTCATCTGTGTTTGCCATCAAAAGCCATATAGGATCCTGAAGGACATATTTAATGAAGTGCTCACTTTCTTCCATTTCTGCCTTCATTTTAGTTTTATGATGATTTTCTGAGGAATCAATACTTCCAAAGTATTTGCTGGTATGACTAGTTTCACTACTACCTGTAAAAAGAAATGTCAGACTTCATTCTATATTGTTCAATACATAAATTATCTGACTGCTTTCAAAAACAGAGAAGATTAAAGAGACCTGAAACTATAAATACAACCACTATTTAATTTTTTAAGCAGAGGGAACTTGCCCTACAGAACAGTATTTTTAAAACTCAAATTCTGAAGCTAAGTCTCCATTAAATTTCAACAGAATAATTAGCTTACTTAAATGAAACACTCTGAAATGAACCAAGGACTATGCTATTTTCTCTTCAGTATTCTATCATACCTGAGTAATATCTTAATGGCTATTTATATATACATAAGGTTCTATACTGTAAATCATGCACAACAGAAAAACTTTCATGTTATGTCATTAAAAAAGAAATCAAGAATAAACTATGCAGTGAGGATTCAAGAGAAGAAAGATTTTTACATAAAGCACTTGATGTTCAAGTGGTGCTGGCAATACCCCATGCTCCAACTCTTCTGAAATACTGAGAGAGGACTCCCTGCAGTGTTACCTGTTCTGCTCCCTGACATGCCACAGCCATTGGATCCCGAGCCCAGGGACTCGGCGGCAGCGGACACACCGCTCCCAGAGGAGGCTGAGCCTGTGCCCGAACACGCGTCTTCTTGAAGTAAAATGTCCAGCAGGACACTAGACATGGAGAGAGCGTCGCTGTTCTGAGCGTCCATTGGAGATTCAGCCTAGTGATAAGAAGGGGAGGACAAATACTAAAAAGCAAACCCAAACCCCAAGGCTATTTCATCACTCATCATTTACGTTCACTATTGATCAATTTCATTTTTGTATGTTCGTATGTTCACACAGTTATTCAGACAACCACCAATAACGTATGCCAACAGCAAGTGAAGAATCATGAAGGGGACTGATAGGCAGACAAGTGCCTATCAGGTAAGTCCTTTAGTAAGATTGAGATCTCAATTCAGCTTTTCTTTAAAAATATATACATAGTTTAGTGAGGAAGCAAGGAGGCCAACTGCTCTTCAGTTTTGACCAGCTCTACTGTCTGACCACTGAACTAGTCAGAATTTACCCAAGTTACCTAAGGCATAATAGCAGCTGCTCCTACTATAATCCAAAAAGATTTGCATCAACAGTCCCTCACTGTCACTACTCTCCACACATGATGAGAAAAAGGAAGGTATTGCCAGATGCTAACTTCCTGGGCAAGATCTGTACATTTTTGAGGGAAAGAGCACTAATTACAGTGACTTCTAACATAAGCAAAACCTCACTGTGAGTCAGTTTGAAGATTGAGGCTGACAGAACTAAGCAAAATACATAATAATGGGAAGAACTAGCTTTATCCTTAACACATTCCTGAATAAATGGCACATTGTTCTCATTTTCCAGTACATGATGAGGAAGTGACAGAATTTTGCATTTTACATGTTTCTAAAGAACAGAAACTGATAGTTCCTATTCAGTTCAAGGAAACACAAAAGAATTTTCCAGCAAAATTGTTACTCTTAAGTTTTGTTATCAAGCTCCTTTTAATCCAGCAGGGGTGGGATTTGCCCAGTGAGTATGATAATTTTTTTTTACTGTAAACCAAATACATTTTTTCTCAAGATCATGAGATAACAAGCATGTAATAACAGAAAGTGACAAGTTTTGGCATCGCATCAATCAAGCTTGGAAGTTTCTCTCTGGGCTTATCCATTTTCATATTTTTTACAAAAAGTGGAAAAAACTGATTTCGGATGTATTTCCAAGCTTCCTAGTGTAACTAGAAGAACAAAAACAAAGTCCTGGCATTATACTGATTACTGTCCATCATTAAAAAACTGGTCCCACAGTGAAAGGATGGAAAACTACATAGCAGGGACAGGAAAACAGGGAGAAGGGGGGAAAAAATCCCATCTGTTTTAGACATCTCTACATATTAACAATTTCAGTCATGTTCAAGAATGTGAAGACTTGAAAAAAACCCAGAACCCATCAGCATACTTACTGGTAAGGATCCCTTTCCAGTACAGTTACCAGTTGTCATGATTTTGCCTATGGCTCCTTCCTCACTTAAAGCTCCATGTACAGCCGCAGGAGCTCCACTCTCAGCGGTTTTTGTTGTTTCTTCTAACTGCAGAAGATTCAGAGGAGAACTGCACCTCGACTGGAACAGAGGTGGTGAAGCCTGGTCTCGAGGACCCACTGACTGAGGACTGCAGGAACGGGACGGCTCATTTCGTGGCTCTGTGACAGGAATCTTTTCACTCTCTGCTGGTGGATTATAATGGAATGGCTGTGTCGGAAAAAACGCCTGTTGTGGGAAAGGGCTGGGGGTAGCAAAGGGGGGCTGTGTTGGAAATATTGTCTGTGAAGGGAAAGTAGAATGGGCCGGGAAGTTGGGTTGGCTGTGGTAAAGCGTTTGAGGTAAGTTACTGTTCATCTCTGGGTAGACAAAGTTGGGGAGCACAAGAGCTACGACAGGTGTCATGAGGGGTGCAGGGAACTGGGATGGTTGCACAGGGCAAGTATTTCCAGAGTCTGGCAACTGATTAAAACCAGAGAGTGAAGTCTCAGGAGCTGGTGGCACAGTCCCCGCTTCTGGAAAAACAGGAAGTGGATATGCAGGCATAACAGTGGGAAAAGACACGGCTGAATAACTCGCTTGTGAAGTCTCCGAGGGTGACCAAGCAGTAGTGTTTAAACCTTGAAGGGGGACCCGGTGAGGGAATTTAGCTCCAGAAGTTGTACTGTCTGAAGACTCCTGTGGTTTAATGCGCTTTGACTTCCTGTTCTTTCCACTTTTCTTCCAAGGCTGATCCACTCCAGAAGTGCCATTTCTTTGTCCACGACCACCTGAAAAAAAAAATAAAAAAAATCAGGAAGAATCCTCCTTGCGAGCTGATGGATCACTTTCACCTTCTCACCTTTACAAGTTGCTCAGAACAGCAGCTCTGGACCTAGCCTACCCAAAAGGAAGCATTTGGGAAGTTGTGCAGCTCACTTTTACCTCTAGCACAAAAACTGAGCTAACTGGGCAATAATAACCATGCTGACACATCATGGAAGGAAAGAGAGCAACAGATTCAGGATCAAATGTGTGTCACCCAAAAGCACAAAGCTGCAGAACAGTGGCTCCTAGAGGGGCAAACTTCTAATTACTCCAACAATTACAATGAAAACAGTATAGGACATGACTGAAAACATTTCTAGAGAGTTCAAGTCATGCAGGTTTGTAAAGGTGAAGAAAAAAATTTCTGAGAGGAAAAAAGCACACTACCTTTACAAGCTCATTTTAGAAGTATGCACCAAGCAACTATTCTCTAGGCAAAGGATGTCAGTTTGTCTGATTACAAACATAACGAAATTCTTAAAATATCTTCTGGCACTAAAAGCTGCTCAAACTTTTAGTTTGCCTAAAACTTACTTAGATAGGCTGATATTTTGTCACATTATTAGCTTAAAGGCAACCAAACAATGATCAGATTATTTCAACAATTACACAACAGTGGAATAGGAGACTCTGGATAAGAAGAGAGGGGCTGAAAACAAAACAAAGCCACACACGTGGAAAAAGGCAGATGGAAAGACAGAAGGAAAAGAAAAGCAAGGGAATACAAGCATAGATACACTAAAGCATGATTCTGTCCCTTGAAAGTAGATGCATGACAGTATAATGAACAGATAAAAACTGAAACATCACTTATTAAAAATGTCAGTTATATTAAAAGCTATATTCCAATCTCCATCTATAAGCAAGACTTAGAAGAATTTTTTGGTTGTCTTTAAAAATAGCATCTAACTGTCCGTATTGACAGTGGCCCCACAGTAGAGCTAAAGAGGGAAAAGACTTCCCAGCAGGATTTACTTTCTACCAAAATACAAGTTTTAGTGTGAAAACTATTGCCATACCACGTTCACCAGGCCGTCCTTTTGGTTTATCTTGTAAGTAGTAATTGCAGTGAGACTGAAAAATATTAAATCTCTTGATTTCTTTAAACTTATTCAAAAAGCTCTGCTCCTCTTTTTGTGTATGCACTGCAAGGACTTCCTTTGTAAGTCCCAGTTTTTTAAATGGCTCCTTTTCTTGATTTACATGTGAAGAGCTGGATGGAGGGGTGAGAATTTGGCCATCTAAGAGTTCTGCTCCACTTGGACCATCTTCTATCATTTCTACAGAAATTAAGAGCAAAAAATAAATCAAGATTAACTAAATGCATTTTTAAGCTATTACAATTATTTAATAATTTTTCTTTAAGTCTCAGATACAAACTCTGTTACTATTTATTTTATTCCCGTAGGACCTGTTTATTCTATTTAAATAGGACCTGTTTATTCTATTTAAATAGGACCTGTTTATTCTATTTCAATATGACCAGTTTATCTGTAAGAAAACTGAAGTCACAAGCAATTGCCCTTTTTGAGAAAATTCATTCCCCAAAACCATACCTAGTTCAGGTTGTGTTTTTTTGTCTCCAACATGAACAATGGTGCTACTGTAGCTGCACTGACTCGTGAGAGAAACAACACTTTCAGGCTTGCCAGGTAGAGCCAAAGATGTTAAGTGGGCACCAACCACTGGAGGACCATTTGGTTTACCAGATGCCTTCAACACAGCAGTATCTATTAAAAGAAATAAAGTTATAGTTTATCCTCAGTAAGTTTTCTGACAATACCAAGCTGTGTGGAGTAGTTGATACCCTAGAGGGAAGGGATGCCATCAAGAGGGGCCTTGACAACCTCAAAAGGTGCACCAATGCCAGCCTCATGAAGGTTCAACAAGAACAAGTGTAAGGTCCTGCACCTGGCTTGGTGCAATCCCAGGCACAAATAGAGGCTGGGGGAGAGAAAAAAATTGAGAGCAGTCCTGAGGAGAAGGACCTGGGGGTGGTAGTAGATGCATGAGCTACCAGTGTGTGCTCATAGCCCAGAAAGCCAATTGTGTTCTGGGCTGCATCAAAAGAGACAGCAGGTCAAGAGGTGATTCTTCCCCTCTACTCTGCTCTGGTGAGACCCCACCTGGAATATTGTGTACAGCTCTGAAGCCCCCAGCACAGGAAAGACATGGAGATGTTGGAAAGGGTCCAGAGGAGGCCACAAAGGTGACCAAAGGGCTGGAGCAGCTGTGCTATGAAGACAGGCTGAGAGAGTTTGGGTTGTTCAGCGTGGACAAAAGAAGGTTCCAGAGAGACCTTAGAGCACCTTCCAATACCTAAAGGGAGCCTACATGAAAGATGTGGAGAAACTTTTCACTAGAGAGAGTAGTGGTAGGACAAAGGGTAACGGTTTTAAGATGAAACAGGGTACATTTAGATTAGACATCAGGAAGAAATTCTTCACCATAAAAATAGTAAGACACTGGAACAGGTTGCATAAGGAGGTTGTGGATGCCCCGTCTCTGGAGGTGTTCAAGATCAGGTTGCATGAGGCTTTGTGCAACCTGGTCCAGTGGGAGGTGTCCCTGCTCATATCAGGGAGGTTGGAACCTGATGATCTCAAGGACCCTTCCAACCTTAACCATTCTATGATTCTATGAATCACAGAATATGATTCATCATGATGAATCATAGCAAATGCAAGTTTTATGTTGCTAGGGTTGCAAAGCCCTATAGGAGGCTAAACTGTGCTTGACAAGACAGAAAATGAACATTTTACTTTATGCATTCCACCAAGCATGTTTTAGGAACAGAGTAACATCTGAGCAACTACATCTAATCCTTTACTTTCACATACAGGCAAACCAAATGTGTCCAATAAAGGACTTTTTGCTCTTCACTGGTCTTAATTCTTCTTTCACAGCACAATTTTGCAAGAAAGTTTCTAGCCTCTTCCAGCCTAAGATTAAGCCCTGCCCAGCTCACATACTGTACATTAATCTTTGTCATTAGCTGGTTATCCGGCTGTTCTCTGAGCATCTTTAAGTTCTCTCACCTGAAAGCTATACACAATAATCCAGCAGAGGTCATACCAGTGCTTCAGAAAACAGCATTGGGGCTCTCCTCCTCCAGTAGGAATACTTAGCATAACACATTTAAGACCTAAGGTTTGCCTTTTCCCTGACTAGAGCATGCTGGTGGCTTCATCCTTCTGTCACCAGTGCACCAAAGTGCTAGTGAACCCATGTCTTCCCTTGTCAACTCGAACTGCACAGACTGCAAAGGACAGCAGAAACTGTGTTTCTAACTGCATGATACTAATCTCACCATTTCTTCCACTCTAGTTCTCAAGACATTCCCACTCTTCTACAGGACACTGTGTTCCTGTGGATACAGATACCTTCCACCTTGATTCTAAAAGCTGCATTAGAACTTGTTTTTGACATTCATCAAAAGGAAATACAGGCAAGATCACTCCCAAGACCACCTTCTGAGAAACTTTACTAGACCCTTTCACTTTACAACAGCAAGGCCAAATCAGCAATATCTCATTTACATATAGTTCTTTACCAGTCTCACAATTCCTGTACCAGCCAGTTAGGTTCTTCACTTTAGCTGCCTGTCCAGACAGGGACCATATCAGACTCTATACCTAAGTATTAACAAACTAAGTTTGTGAGTTTTGCCTACAGCAGACTTTTTAGGTAACTGTCAGTAATCTTCATCTCTTATTTTCATGGCTGGACATTCCTTTCAGTTGGGTTCCTGTGCCTCACGCAACACTGGGAGCAGTCTGCTGCATTTTACCTTCTTGTTCCCTTTTTAATTTTATGTCCACAAAGAAGAAACAGAAGTGTAATAGGCATATATTTTTTTTGCAATTAATTAACTGACCAGTTCTTCAGCTGGTTGTTGCTACAAGTTTCAACTGTGAAACAAACTGTTTATATTTTACAATGATTCAAGTCCTAAAACTCAAAATCTGGTGTATTGGATACAATATAAATAAGTTTACTACACCTACAACCCAGGTATTCAACCAACTACTCAGTATTTTGATTGTAAGGAATATTTTAGTGATAAAAGCTGGATCACCAAGTATCTAACACTGGAGAAAAAATGATGAGGTCATGCCTAAGCTACACTCATCATTGTACACAGTAGTAACATGTAACTAGCTGCTAGTAAAAACCAATCAAGAAAAAGCTGTGATGTAGATATACCTCCCAAGGGCTGTATAGCATTATCAGCTGTTTTTTGTTCATGAACTCCAGAAGTCAGTGATGCAACACTTGATGAATGTTCACACTTCCTTTTTGCTGTACCAGGCACATTACAACTCTCCAAGTACCTAAAATACAATGATTTAACAATATGAGATAGGCAAGTCTAAAGTCTAGAGGTAAAGAGTAATTTACATAGTGTTTGCTTACCTGATGACACTGTCCAAACAGCTAATCTGTTGATATGAATATACAGTTTGTTCTTTCCAAGCTAACTCTTCTGTAGTCACATTTTTAGGAGCAGCTGTTAGTGCAGTATCCTTTCCAACTGCATCTTTCACCTGACCACCATTTTGTTTTCCTATGAAAAGGAGATAATGCTGTTATGTAATTATGGCCTTAAATCCCCACAAATTCCCCTAAAAGCAAAGGTTTTCATTCATGCACGTCACAAATGAACCACTGTAAAGCAAGTAAGAGGTTTGCACACTAACAGATGAACATTTTGTAAATATTTTCCTGTCCTTATGGATTCTTGGAGGTGTGAAGTTTAGGTACATTGATGCATATGAATCCAAAGGTAACAGATACTATTCCTGCATGAAAATACGTATTATTAGACGTGAACACACTCAGTATGAGGACAACTCTCACGCTCATAAGTTACAGCAAATTATTAGAAGAATAACCTATTAATATATGCAGAAATGTAAACTCATCCACAAGATTTTAATTTATCAAATTAAAAATTCCTGAGGTTACAACACAAACAGGAAAGACAACATCCATAACATTTTCCTCCACCTAACAGAAAACGAGATGTTGGACTTGCATGAACACACGAGCTACAGTTCAGGTACTTCAAAACAACATCTTTATGGCATGCCTTGTCTGTGTGTTACACCATCATAAATTCAGACAAAACTGAACACAACATTTTCCTGAACTCAGTGAAGAGACACTGGGCAATATAATTTTAATTGATAAAAATGCTGTCTTTACATGTTGATTAGAACTCAACTAGAAAACAAATCCTACCGTCATTATTATACATGGCAGACACAATAGACTAGTACTTAACTTGCAAATGTCTTACCTGCAAAAGACTCTCTCTTACATTCCAGTTTTGCTTTATTGTCAGTGAAAATACGCTGTCCTTTATTTTTGACCTTACGGGCATCTTGTCTAACCTCCTGAAAGCAGGTCATTAAAAAGAGTTACTACAAAATTCTGACACAAAGCATCATGCATAGTGATTCCTCGGTAAACTACATCTAACCTTAGTTAATCTCTGTCTTACAATTAGTGTGATCATGGGAGAAATCCTGATGTACGGAATTTTATTGTTCAGCAGAATTTTGCAAATTAGAACGGAGAAACTTGAAGTGTGTTTTTTGTACACAATTACTGTATTTTGTTTTATATAGCTGAATGACTTGTATAGGAATATATAATGATGCGTTACAAAGAAAACTTCAGGGGTATAAACAGTATCACTCGGGAAACAAAATACTGATGCTAAGACTGAGCACTTTGTGCCAGCAGCTTAACTGACAGGGTACTATAGAAATATACTATAACAGTCTGCATCATCTGTGGAAATAGTGATGGAAAGACAGGTATCCATTTACCTCACAAACAAGATCCACTTAAACAGTACTCTTTTGTATAGCTCTGAAGTGTATCAAGTTATCTGTTAAACATAAGAACCCAGAGACTTCATCTGCTTATGTCAGTAGTTTAAGGACTGAAGGCCAGGAAAGTGACCACCTTGGCAAGAGCAGCAGCCTGCCATGCCTCATCCCAGAAACAGAAATCAGATTTGGGAGCAATGTAACTAAAGAAAGGAATACTTTGGCTTTCAGATTTAAACACAAATCAGTGAGCTAAACAAATTTGGTAAGAACAGGAGGACATCCAAAATTACTAGAGCTGTTAAAAGGTGCAGTTCTTTAACTGCATCTACATGCAGTACATTGCTGTCTGTCTGATCTACTTTACCTATGGAATAGTCGTCTTAAACACAGGCACAAATTTGACACCTGTTTTGTTCAGACTGATGAAACTTCAAAAGTTCCACCTCCCTATCCACTGGATACAACAATGGCCCAACCTACAGTACAGTTACATCTTAAGCTAAAAAAAAGTGTATTTTATTCCATTCCATTGGTTTCATTCAATATTATATATTTTGCAACATAAAAATTGATCAAGGTCAAGCTATCACTCAGTTATGCAGGTATTACTGCATTTTTCGTTTCTTAGTTTCATTTGGGAAAACAAGGATTACAGACTTTCCCCTCCCAAAAGAAACAGCTTTTAAGCACTCAGTTGCTTTTCCCAGAAACATAGCATATAATATATAACAGATATTAGATTAACACACTGTGCAAGTTTAAATTATTTATACCCATTGACTTTAAGAGCTATAGCTGTTCTTCAGTACTCTGAGACCTGATCTACACCAGAATTGTTTATTCCCCTTAGACAGAAAGGTTTTTTCCATGTTAAACGAAGATACTACTTTTTTCCTTAATACTTTCTTCCACCTGTAATCTGAAAGAGTTAAATTACAAGTAAAAAAACCAACCCATTTTTACTAGTTTGTTTTGTGCCCCATCCTTGAGTATGAAAACCCAAACCTACTGGTTTATCCTTATGAGTATCTTCATTATTATTTCCTGTGCTGTCACTGGAAGATGCCACGCTCATTAAGTGCTCATGGGAACCATTGCTACCAAGACTTCCATAGCCACTGGATCCACTGTTGTGTACAGGCTGTTAATAACAAAATATAAATATACACACACATTTCTCAGCACAGCAGCTTTAAACAAAACTGAAATTATTACCAGTAATACCATGTAAGGAAAAAAGGATTTATTTTAGGTTTGGGGTTGTGTTTTGTTTTGCTGGTTTTTTGTTTGTTTGGTTTTGTTTTTTCTTGAGGACTCCATAGCTGCCTGAAGTCCTTAAAATATCAACTGGAGCTTTAACATAATTTAATACATCTTGTCTGGTAATTATCAGTGTAAATAATTTCCAGGATTGTAGCCAGAAATTTCAGTACACTAGTAGACAGCTAAACAAAACATCACAAAAAGATAAATGCCCTTTTGTCAGTGGGAAATGAAACAGGTAACATGGAAGCACATGCTGTACCTGCAATAATAGCCGGTATATTTGCTCAGTGATTTCCTGAACGCTGGGATGAAGGATTCTATCCTCTGTATAGTTGGGAGCAGCAAAGACATCTTCATTTAAGGGACCCCTGCATAAACAAAACATATCCCAGCTCATCACAAATGCAAGTTTTTCAATTAAAGAGACCATAACTTCAATTTACCATCTATAGGTAGTAAACAGAATCTGATGCTTATTCTCTTACATCTACAACCTCTGAATCTGATGAAACACATTCCCTTACTCACTTTGTGCATGACTTCCCTCTTCTGAAACAAGTACTGGCAGAATTTAAAAGACTTCAAATTTATTTTTATTTTTATTAATTTATTACATCACAAAATCTAAATTTAAAAAGGAGCAGTTATTACATCACAAAATCTAAATTTAAAAAGGAAGCAATTTGTATGTGTGATTTTTTCGCCCCCATCCTGAAAATCCCTTATATCTTTCTTAAGGATCACTGTGTAAACACCATGGGAGGGGAAGAAAAAAACCAAACAACTATATATATTTTAAAGCTACAACAGTTTGACTTACGTCCTAACTTTGTGTCGTCCAATAATAAATGAAACTTTCCGACTCCAAGGGTTGATGAAACTGGACCAGCTCGTGTCCATGGTGATATAATCTCCATTCCTAGTGCAAAACCTGATTGGTGAATAGTCAAAAGGCTGCCCTCCGTACTGGAGTACTGTAATGAGTGATTCAGAAAGAAATTTCAGATTAATATTGGCACAATTTTGCTTAATGATTCAGGATTTTACAATGAATTGCAAAAGAGGGAGATGATATTTGAAGGAAAAAATACCAGACATGTCTGTATATTTAGAAATGCTGGGCTGCCAGAAGAAGCAGACATTCATAATTTACTGGACCATGTCAATAACTTTTAAAAATAAGCTAACTATGATATCAGCTTTATGCTTTGCAATTTTAACAAATTAATTACTCTAATTTTCTTCTTTATTAAATAAGACAGACTTCAATTTAAAGTATGACTTAAAAAATTGCATTATCACACACATTTTCTCTATGTATGAAATACTAATTTACAGTTGGTTTACAGCAGACATGTGCTTCATATAAAACTTGACATTGTATTCTAAATTTTATCTATTTGCATTAAGAATCAAGTTGTAAAGGATCCAGTACTTACCTGCAGAAAAATTTACTACTTTGAGCTCTTTGTAGTCATCATTAATCAATTTTAGAAAAAAAAAACACAACAACTTCTGCCACAGTGAGAGATTACATACTTTTTTTGTGAATTGCTAGCATTAAGGGTCTGTCACTTGGGTGAAGATGCACCAAGACTGGTGTTCCTATTAAGTCTTGAGGTAGGTATCCCAACAGAGGTACTGCTCTGGGAAAAGAAAAACAAAGGAAAAAAAAGTTAAATAAATTTATATTTTATCTTTAAAATGCTTCTATTTTAAGTTTCATTTTTTCTTTTTCACATAAAGAAAACAAATTATTTTAAGTTTAAACTTGTGGAACTAGCAGTGCAAACTTAAAAGGTGTAATAGTCTTTGAACATGGGGGTTTTGTTTGTGGGGTACTTTGGTAACTAAGTAAAACAACCTGATCAGACCAAACTGAGAAGTCTGCTGCAGCAGTTCTGTCTTTTCTATGCTGCCTTGCTCTAGAGGATAAATACTTACCCTAATTTTAAAAGAGTATTAATAAAGTTTAATCTTGTAAAACTCTCATGAAGGTAAATAGTACCTAAATCTGTGGGCTGCAAGCCAAGGCTAAGAATCACAGGATTACTACAGCTAAACTAGCAACAGGGTAGTTGACTAGGACTCAAGGAAACTTTCTCCCAGGCAGGTCAAGAGTTCAACTCATACAGGAGCTGCAAGGGAGCAAGCAAGTTTATTGATTTGAAGAGAAAAGTAAAAGTAAAGTTACCAAATTCCTGCACATTACCAATGAGCACTCCTGACAATGTCACTCACTCATTTATTGAGGAAATAATTTTTACTGATCACTAAAGACATTACTATTAAGGAGACAGAGTGAGAGTTCACTAATGTCAGCTTGTACCTTACCCTGAAAACTAACTGCCAAAAGTATGGTTTGGAAAAAAAAAAAAAAAAAAAAAAAAAGCAAGCATTAAGTCAATACTACTTAGAAGTTACCAGATGCCAACAAGTCATCTTACAAACCCAGCCCCACTCACTGACAAAGGCTCAGGAGTAGAAAGATAATCAGGTATCTGAGAAGCTTTAATGAAGAACCTGGCTGTAACATGCCAAAGACAGAGGATTTGTGATGCCCTGGAATTGAAATGTATTATGGGACAAATGCCTTCAAGACTGCACCTTCAATAACCCACTGAAATTAGACCAGTTCCCCAAACATCAAATATACCCTCCTGGCAAAGAGGCTGAGACATTCAGGAGAAATGAGGATAGCAACTAATGCTTTATTGTTGAAAAAGTTAGTTAAATAATATGTTTTATAAGCTTTTGAATTACGTAAGCATCAACTTCACAAAGCTGAAACTGGCATGAAACTCATACCAAATCATTTTGACACACTGACATTTAAAAACGTTGTTGAGTTCAAAGAACATAAAAGTTACATTATTAGAGGAATTTAAAATACCAACCAATTCTGAATTACTTCAGCTAGGACTTCATCAAATAACATTGTAAAAAGTAGAAGAAAACAAGTTTTTGTTTGCACTGTTTCTATTCTTTGCCTCATTTATAAAAGCCTGGCAAACCCTACATTTGTGCTGTGACACAACATCTACTCTAAAAGGGATCAAATTTTAAACTTTTAAACTTTATTAATAAATTTTAAAGTTTATTAGGCTAGTTATAAAGAAAGATGTAAATCCATTCACTTTTCTGCATGAAAAAAAATCCCCAGCACATTTTTATTCTTCTACAAAGATCGCTGGAAGAGGCAAGGATACATTCTAATCTAAGACTGATAAGTAGAGATTGAGTTGGGCTCGCCTGTTCCAATGAAGAGGCTAGAGACAATCCAGGAGCTTCCTACAACTACTGGAAAGAGGAGTTACAAAGACTTAAATTTTCTTGGTTGTGTCAGACAATAAAACTATGGACAATGACCCAGACTGCAGTCTGGAAAGCTTATGCTGGATGTTAGGGAAAGTTTTTTAACAAAGTCAGTAGAACAAAACAGGAAGAGTTTTGCATTGGCATTGTGAAATTTCTGTCTCGGGAGTTTTTCAGGCATTACTGAGACAAGATCACAGCTGACCTGACCTAGAAGAACTGGGCAACAGCTTCATTTCAAGCAAAAGGATGGAACAGAGACCTCCAGCAGGCCCTCCCAGTCAGCACTTCTGTAATCACACAGTGCTGTATCTGAGGCAGTCCCTCAGCAACACTATGCTTCCTCATAATAGCTCAAAATAACTCAGAGTTTAAGTTAATAAACTCATTTTATGAATCCAAATGCATATATGGCATAAGAATGGCTCTTGAGGAGTCAGCAAACTTAGTTTGTATTTTATAAAATGACATTTGAAGTGTCAAAACAACATGAATAAGAAGTCTCTTTATATTCTTATTGTGAGTTAAATAGGAAATTGCTTCAGATTAATTTACTAAGATCACTCCATAGCCAGCTATTTCGAACTCCTTACACTTATCACACGTATCAAGTGCATGGCTTGGAGCACGTGTGGGAATGAGGGAGAAAAATCCATGAAGAGGACAGAGCTCTACCGGAGTACACAGTTCTATTGACAAGTTACACTTTTTAGAGAGACTGTAAAAATCGTAACAAGGCAAAACAGTTTGTCAGCATTACATCTTCTACCTCACAGGAATTCTCACAACAAGCCACAGTGTCTGCACAAGGTAGCCAAAAATAGCTCTGCCTTAAGAGTCCAAACTTAGCCTTGCTGATTAGCCACAGTCATCTTCTACCGTAATCTCCAATAGCCACCTCTGGCAATTCTTGTTGAATGAAACTCATGCACACTGCAGTGATACTGACGGACCTGACCTCTCTGCAGATGAATTGTCTCAAAAGTCAAACAGTAATTTTTTTTTCCCCTTAACAGCTCCAGGTTGGGAAATCTCCAGGTAACCTCCTTTTCCCCCCAATCCCTCTTTATTTTGCTGCAGTTAAAGATTTTGCCAAGAACAGGGAATTTCTTCAGAAACCCAAAATATACCTCAGATAATCCTAAGCTATCCATTATACTGCTACTCTGTCTGCAGACATCCTCCTCATTCAGACCTACAAAGAAAGTTTCAGCATTCTTAAAATGCTTAAAAATGAAAGGAAGGGAGAATTTCACAAGTCAGATGCTACTATTGCAACCAACTTAACTTTCACTAAGGAGAGAAAAAGAACAAAAAATTCCACAAAACAGCAGCATGAAGAAAATACCAAATTCAACAAGGAAAGAGGGAGAGATAGAAAGGGAATAGGTAGCCTGTGTTTTCAATTCAGACACAAGTGAATACACTTGTCAAGTCTTGAAAACACTCTAACATTCTGTAGTGCATCTGTGCCCTTAAAGCTTGTTGAGATTATCATCTCTTCCTCAACCATGTACACTTCTAACTTTGAAGAAGTTCTTCTCATAGATGTCACATTTCCATCACATAAACATCCTCTGAAAGACCCCAGGCAAAAGCAAGCCAGAAGACTAAAGGGAAGCCTGGTTTACACCTTAGTTTCTGAGCCTCTGCATGCCTTAAGATCACAGGCAGCATATTGGGTTCTACTCTGACATGTGAATACTTATTTTAATTGGCTTCCATGATTGTCAAAGCAATGTGAAGTCTTCAGCCAGTAGACTTTGAGTAGTTTTTGTATAAAGACAATAACACCATGAACTATGAAGAGTGCAGTTTGAACAAAGAATACAGATTGGGTATTTTTGTTTGTTGTTTTGTTTGTTTGTTTGTTTTCTTTAAAGAACTAGTGTTGCATTTAAAAGATACCTCTAGTTGCATCTGGACCAGCAGAAAGTGACAGCAGCATATTGCTTGTTATTAATACGATCAAACTAAAAGAAAACAAACCTAAACCCACACTGAAGATTTGTGCTGGTGTTCAGCAAGACTGGGACAGGCTGGAATGCTGGGCAAAGAACAACCTCATGAAGTTCCAAGGCAGGTGTAGGGTCCTGCACCTTGGTAGGAATAACCCCATGCACGAGTACAGGTTAGGGGTTGACCTGCTGAAAAGCAGCTCTGGGCAGAAGGACCTTCAAGTTCTAGTGGACAAATTAACCTTGAGCCAGCAATCTGCCCTTGGTGGCCAAGAAGGCCAATGGCACCTGGAGTGCATTAAGAGTATGCCCAGCAGGTCAAGGTTATTCTTTCCCTCTACTCTGCCCTGGTAAGGTTACATCTGGAGTGCTGTGTGCAGTTCTGGGCTCCCCAGTACAATGAAAAACCTACTGCAGATAGTCCAGTGGAGGGCTACTAAGATGACTGGGGGACTGGAACACCTCTTTTATGAGGAAAGGCTAAGACATCTGGGTCTGTTTAGCCTGGAGAAAAGAAGACTGAGGGGGAATTTTATTAATGCTTATAATAATCTGCAGGGTGGGTGACAGGAGGATGGAGCCAAATAAGAGGTTCCACTTAAATGTGAGGAAAATCATCTTGACCTTGAGCATTACAGAGCACTGGAACAAGCTGTCCAGAGGTTGTGGACTTTCCTTCTCTGGAGGCATTCAAAACCCACCAGTGCCATCTCCTCTATGTGAACCTGCTTTAGGGCAGGAGCACCAGACTAGATGATCTCCAGAGGTCCCTTCCAATCTCTACCATTCCATGATTTTGTAAAAGTTTCACACAGGTAATGACTGTTAGCACAGGAATTTTCCTGAGTATTGCTTTCTTCCATGGAATTTTTGTCCAGATTTGCCCCAGACAGAAGGAAATTGAAAGAACAAGTTGCTAGCACATTTAAATACCACAGTGTAATGTGTCTTCATGCTTAACAAAAATTGAGAAATGTACTTTTCTTTAGCTAAAACACTCTTCAGTAGTCACATGATTTTTTAACTCCAGAGACAATTAAATCCTAAACACACCTGTAAAAATACTGGATAACATTCTTATCAGTACATTGAAAAACATAATTTTTTAAATGTACCTTTCATCTACATCCTGAAACAAACAGGTTGGTGTGTGAGTAGTTGTAAAAATTCTTTTGTCAGGAGGAATTCTGGGTGCTGAGAGGAAAAATAAGAACAGATTAACACATGGGTTTTTTGCATACATAAAATACTTCAAGATACACATTTCTATTAAATACTGAGTAAAATCCAGAGGTCTAAGAGGATGTAGGAAGGCAGCTTGCTAGGGCAGCCATTCAGCAAGGGCAGAGAACAGAAGCAATTATCTTTAACTTTGACCAAGCCCAAGATAACGACAGTAACTCATACAACGGATTTTCTTTAGCTAAAGTTCAGTTGGGCTACACTGTACGGAAATTTCTGTAGCAGAACATAGAGCAGTTCATATTTTGGGGAAACCAAACTAGACTTCGTGCATTCAAAGAATTACCTTCATAACCAGAATGTACTTTTTCTGCGAGCAACACACAGCACAGCTGGTCCTCTGCTATTTCTGGGTCTTGCACTTTGATCAGGTAAGGAGTCATCCGAAATGGGAGATAGCAAATCTCATTTTCACGCTCCTTCCCTGCACTAAAAATGAAGCAGAGTAAATTATTTCAACAGATTCACCTTATGCTAAACAACATTCTAATTTCTCTATTGCCATTTTCTCATGATGCAAGGACTGCATAATAGCTCCTAAAATTGCACCCAAGAATTTAACTTTCTGAATTCTTCTCTTTGGTAGAAGAGAACCTAATTCTGATGGCATCCTTTGCCTACCACCTGAAATAAAGAAGGCATGGTTCTCTCTACTGCCTGAAAAAATTGCTTTAAATGGAAATTTGATCAAAAAAGAAAGACCCACCTCTTGTGATAAAGTTATTGTATTGATCCAATATTAATCTGTGACATTATACCTTTCAAAGGAATTCATAGTTGTATTTTATTTAGATTGCTATATACCCTCAGTTAAGATAAAGACCTTCTTTTACTTAGTGTTTATCCAGATTTTAAAAGAATGAAGACTCAGTTCTTACCTATAACAGGTGTTTACTTAAAACAATTCAATGCATAGTAATGAAAATAACCATTTACACAGTGCCCAAAAAATATCCAGCTGTAATAAGTTTACAATGGCATAGCTTTATAAAACTGTAACTTCTGCAACCAATGTTATTCAGACAAAAAAGTCTACAATAACATCAGCAGTACCTTTACAGTACATCCACTCTGACACTCTAGAGCAGTGCATTGTCTCTTAACTTTGTAAAGTTTACTTAAGGACAAATATTTATTTACTCCAGAAGTAACTAAGTAATAGGAACAGTCATTGTTTTCCGAAATACTCCCAGAGAGGCAACCAGCAGCAAGAAATCAAAATACACAAGAAAGAACATGGAGTAATTTGTCAGCATTTCATAAATAAAAGCAACTAAAGGGAGTGGGGGCAAGAGAAGAAGACAGAAAAGCAAAATCAAAGGAACTGTCATCTAGTAACCGCAAAACAAACAAGTTACTCTCACGTATCTTACTCTACAGGACATCTGAGCTAAATTTAAGATTAATCTTCTAGAATGACAAAGACTCTGTAGCAGGTGCTGAATAGAACAACGCAATTTTCCTGAACTGAAGACTTGCCATAGTAGTAGGAGGTACCAGATTAGCTTCTCTTAGGGTGCAAAGGTCAATAGTCACACTGATTAACTTGTAAGATGCAGGTTCCTGAACTCACTTTGCAGTTTTCTCTGTAGTTTCTACAAGTTAATCAACCAGAGAACTTGCGTATGTTTTGCCTTATATTCACAGCATGGAAAAGCAAGAAACTTACATACCATATGATTCACATAAAAGTCAAATACTTTTCCAACACATGGTTTCATAATACTACACTGAGCTTTGTAGTATTGTTGTCTTACCTGATGCGACAAAAAAAAGATTTCTCTTCCATGCAGTCCTGGGTGGAAGACTCTAGAAATGTTAAACATATTTCATACCAAGTTAAAAATTACTACAAGATTATGATATTTAAAACAAGACTTTTTCCTTACATGATAAAAGTTGAATTACTTTAAAAGTTGATGTTCCTTGAAGTATGTATTTGCTAAACAATGTACTTCATAAGCAACTAAATATGAATACCATTCAGCTGTGAATCACAGCTGTTTGCTTATGTTTTATTATCTGGGACCCTAAAATTGGACCTTTTTCTTAGAAAGGCACTAGGATGGCTAGAGCATCTAATCTATTTACCAACTGCCCTCAACTCCTCCTCCCTCCCAAAAAGAAGTTATTTTTCATTAAGGTTTCCTCTTACCTTTTAAGTCTACTTCCCTCCTTTTATAAAGCAGCCCCAAAGTGATTTTCAAGGCAAGATCTGGTCTTTAAAAGGCCCCAGTGTGTGATAGTTTTGGATATTCTATTCTATGGCAGCTGATACATGGGCTAGTGTACCTAGTTCCACTTACTCTATTTTTCTAATTTGAAGGCATACACAAGCATAAAATAAACTATAGAAAATGCTACAGGAAAAATATGTATATCTGAGTAATACCGGTAATTAGGATCACATGATCAGAATTCACTAGTGATCCTGTTTTGAGCCAAAGGTTGGCCTAGAGATCTCACAAGGTCCCTTCTGACCTGCTTTATGTATGTATTACTTAGTACATATTTATTATTGCTTTTTAGATGGAATATGATTCACAATCTGACTTTACTTATTAGACATAACATACAAATGAATTGGAATTTCAAATACTTAGAGCAGACCTTGAATTTCAACTGTTTGGTTAAAATATTTGGCAGCGATTTCTCAGTTCCTAACAGCTGTAGCTACACTAGTAAAACAATCCACCCACAAGCAAATATCAAATGCTACAAGACATCTAATTGTTCACCTAACACCATTAGCATGCCTAACAACATTTTTCTAAGGCTAAAAGAACAGAGATATGATTAACCTTGGCAAATGCACAGTGATGGTAGCTGAAATACACCTTTCTACACTGTAATCAAGGTGTTCAGTATTCAAATCATAACTACTTTAAAAGGAAGGAGACAGAATATTCCCCCCCTTGTATCTGAATAAAAGATTAAAGAAAATATGTGGTCATTTGATTGCTAGTGAAAGTGGAAGGCAAACCTGCTACTCAGCATTAACACCTACTTTGCTTTCATTCATCATGTGGATGAAAGGGGCCAATAAACAATGACATTTACAAGACTTTGAGCCCACGGACAAGCCTTGCTGATTTATACAAGTGCGTTATACATCTAGTATTATCCAGAGATGTTCCAATAATACATCTGTGTTATAACCTCAAAAAGTGGTGGAGAAGGATAAAAAGACATTAAAAATCAGTTTAAGTATTTACATCACTGCAAGAGGGTCAGAGAACTATTTGCTCTTGAGACCACTCACCAGCTCTGTTGCAAATATTCCACGAGGGTAATCTGTATGGGGTAGTAGAAGTATAGAACACACTGACATCCTGAGGTGCCAAGAATTCCACAAATTTGGCATTTTTAAAACAACCCCTCTTACAGCGGAGAATAGAAGCAGCTTGATCAGAGATGTACAAAATTTTCCCAGTAATCAAGGAAACAGCAACAGCAAACATATCCTAAAAACAAAAATTTCAAGTTATTTAGACAGTTTAAAACATTCTTCAATCTAGTATGTATTTCTTGGAAAAACACTTCAGATATAAAAAGCACTGATAAATTAAAAATAAAAATTAAGGAAATAGCTTTAAACCACTTCTGTTTAGGAAGCAATAAAATTCATGAAGTAGACACAGCCAGTACACTTTTTGAATGATGCAATCAGCTACAAGCCCTAAATATAATTGCCTAAAATTTTACGATGCAGAATGAATTTACAAATTAAGAATTAAAGAGATTCCAGCTATAAAGCTTCACATTTTCCTCATGCTTTTTACAGGCATATTTTACATTTATGAAATTCAACTGTTTTGCAAAAGGCTGCTTATGTTATCTTGTCCGCTCACTGCAAAATGAAAAAAAGTGCTCTAAACCACTTGTTAAAATAATGAGTTGATAGATGGAAAAAAAGAAAAAGTCCACCACAACCATACATGCACTTCATTTGTATCATTTTCTGTTTGTTTTCTTCTTAGCACAGAAAAGCTTCCTGCGTCACAGCCAGTGCTGATCTATCCACTAAAACTACACACAAACTTAAGAGCTGTTGTCAGAACTCAAGCTCAGGAGCTTCAGTTCAACTGAACAATGTTTATGATATCTGGCTCTAGTTCTCTGTTGTATTTATATTCCTATTTATTTACCTTGTGGACAACCCTTTCACAGGTACAACAAAACCCACCTACTTCAAGCTAGGGAACATCCCCCATCATGGCATTATTTTATTGATTTCAGAACACCATATATTAAAGCAGTGGCTTCAGGAAAAAAATAGTGGAAGGCAGTCTAGTAAGTTTAGATGCAATTCTTTTTTTGAAGATTCCATAACATACCCATAAAACACTGGAAACGTGGAAAATAATTAGAAAAAACAATACTGACAAAAATTTTCCTGCTAAAAGCTACATTGTTGGTCATAACTCTTCTTATCTAGGTGAGAACACACAGTATCGCTGGATCACATACTAAGTCTGTACCAACTGCAAGGACTAGAGAAATGCCACCGAACAGGACACAACACACAGTGATTCTAACACTTCTATCACTTTTCAAGTCACACTAAGACAAAGAACTTGACTAAATTTCGGAACGAGTTACTCTCCAACTTTAGCTGGTGTCCTAAAATGGAAACTAATTATGTCTCAGTGCATTATATCACAGAGAGGCTGATTTATGTTACACAATCATCTCTAAGTATGAGGTACAATTCAGAGGACCACGAGTCTAGACTACTTATTTCTCTCCTAACTGACAGAAAACAAAAACAACTTAGATCAAGGTGCTATTGGCAAAGTCTGTAAAGGCTCAGAGTTTCTACTCAACATCCCTTGGAAAGGAAAAGCCAGCTTCTTTCAGTGGATTGGCCTAGCTACCAACTCCTAATTTATAAAAAAGGGAGACATGCCTGAAGATTCCAGTCTTGGACACACTGTCCAATACACACTGTAGACTTGGTCACCATACTCACTGCATTTTTCATGATGTGTTCTGAGGTTATAGTTTCAACTTCTTCCACCGTGTAAGATGACACATTGAGTCCAGCAGGCTGGGATTCATTAATCATCAACAATTGGTAATACTCTTCATTAGCTACATGGGAACATGAAACAATTTATATTCAGAATTTAAAACCTCATTAATGAGCATCCAGCCTAGAAGCAGTGGACAAAATCTTTCTTGGCATAAGCACAGGATGGACAGTTGGGAACTCTAGGTACTACTCCAAATTAGTTTTTCCTCAGTAGTGCTTCCTCATCAGTAACTCAATATAACCCTAACAAATTTACCCAATTAATAAAGCCATATGCAAATGATCATACCTTTTGGTCTGCTTGACAGTTCAAATAATATGAAATTTTAAGTTATTTTCAAATTAATTTTCTAACTAAAAAAAAACACAAACAAAACTGTAAAATATCAAGCATCTAGGGAGCTGCTTTAGCTTCCAAAGGAACACAAGTTAGCACAGCCAATAAATGGGAACACCATGAAAATGTCTGTTTAGAGAGATTTTCAAACATAGTAATAATAACATAATAAACATAATAACAATAAAAAAAACAGACAACCACATTTACATTTCTATTTTAAATGTTTAATTTTAGCCAGGTCGGCATTACCTAGGCAGTATCATACTTAATTACCTTTAACTTGCTTAATGCTTTTCAGGGCATATTTCAACGTTGTTAGGACACTAGATTTGCCTTTAATTCTCTTTTCAGAAGGAAGGTGAGCTTTCAGCTCTTGTAATGTTTTCAGCAATTCCTTTTGTGTTTTGGCTTTAGTGGACTGTTCACTACTGTAAGATTAAAGACAAAAAATAAAATGTCACTTGAATACTTGAAGTGACACAGCATCCTCATAGAAGCCCAACTATAACTCTTCCAAGTACTTAGTATCAACATCGAGAACTTAAAACAATTCTTAAATTAGCTAGAATCCTTCAAAATGAATAATCTACCACCAGCTGAAGTCTTATTATAAAATGTACTTTCTATGTGCAACAGTACATATACCCAAGCACCAGATAATGTTTTAAATTTTTTGCCAGTTTCCCTTCTCCCTTTTTAGTGGTATTTTCCTTAGTTCCTTTCATATTCAAACTCCTAGAAATGTTCATGGACTTCAAAGGAGAGAAGCAGGAGGTCCATTCAGCTCTTCACCTCCTGTTCGACCAGGTTCTCATAAGAAAGGTCCCTGAAAAGGGAATGGCAGTAGGAGAGCATCAAGTTAACAAAACAAATTAAGAAATCCTTGGAACAACATATCCCTGTTAAACATGGCAATACATAAGATAAGAAGACTTGACTAAATGTGTAAAGAATCAGAGGAGGCTGGAGAAAGAAGCTGCATTCACACTTCTAAGGCGCATGTTCAGAAGTGCTGTTTCAGTGTAAAAGTTCAAACTGCAGACATTATTAGTGCCAACATCAAAATTATCACTTTCCTTTGCAGTCCCTAATGTCTCTTCCCACTATTAAAAGGTGCTGACAAAATCAAAAAGGAAGAGAAACAGAGGGAAGGGAAGGGAGGGGGAGGATGACAAAGATGGGTGGCAGGTGGGTAGGAAATGGTTAAAATCAAATCATAGAATCATAGAACTATTCAGGTTGGAAAAGACCCTTGGGATCACTGAGGCCAATCATCATCCCTTCTCTACATATTTCTCCCCTAAACCATATCCACCAACACCACATCCAGTATCACCTTGTCTCTCTCATTTGAGTAGATTTTGAAAGCTAATCACTCACAACAATCAAGAAGATTCTAGAGCTTTTCTTAAACCTTCCTGAAAATAAACTCTTTCCTATCAAAAGGAAAGTCTTCTCTTACAACCTAATTGTCATGGCTGGTAGTTTCTAAGAAGTTATCCTAAGAACCACTGTAGAAACAATGGCCTTGGCAATGGCACTGCCGTGCCTGAAGTGTTCAGTGAAGTGGCTTCAGCTTTCAGGTAATTTTCAAGATGATTTTTCTGGGAAGTCTGAAAAGTTCATCAAGTAGAGCAGTCATCTGACAGGTGTTGAATGTATTTCATAAAAAATGTCTGAGAAGTGACAAAGCAGGCTTGTACTGGAGAATACACATTGTTCTTGCTTACAGCACAACGTACTATGAAAAACACAGCATTCACTTAATCAGTGGTCATTTTGTGCTGAGAAATAATAGCAAGGGATAAAACAAAAGCATACAGTACTCCCTTAGGAAACATTATGTTTGTGCTGTTTATTAAAATCACATCTACAACATGACTTGACAGTTTGGACTGATGTAATCAAACAGGACCTTGTTAATAGAACTCTACACCAGCAAAAGAGAAGAAGGGGATAAGATTATGAAATAACTGAGCATACTGCTGGTTTTGTACTCTCGAGTATGCTTCATGAGAGTGCCCAGACTCTTGCAAGACAATTAACGTTTCCAAATTAGCCTAAAGCAACAGCAAATACAGAAGACAGGACTCCACAAAAAGTAAGTTATACAACTTGAAAACGTTCTTCCAAAGATCAGTGCCATCCGGCACATTAGCCAGCCACAGGGAAGGCTTGGCCTTCAGAGGACAAAACAAGCAACTTCTATAAAGACAGGAACTTTCAATTGTGCTTTATGTGGACAGTGCTGGAAATGTACATACAGATACTACATTAACTATTTGGTTAGTGCCAACACTGAATCCAAAGCTCTGTAATCTTTGACTAGAATATAAAATGTACAGTTTATCAGCCTATTTTACCCTTCTCTTTAATAATCATCCTCTAGATATCTTCAGTCTCCCATTCCCAGAAATCAGATTCTGATCTTGAACCTTCTAGCACTGTGCCTGACAGCTGGGGAAATAATTGTCCCATTGCATTCCTATTTACTTCTCAGCAGAGAGTTATTAATGAAATTTAAAATCAAGTGTTACCAGAAAAAGTACAGCAAGTAACCCCTGCAAATCTTGCAATGAAGAAAATAGAATCAATGGGAAAGGAAGATTAAGAAATGTCTTTGGTTTACTCTGTCTTTGATACCAAGCAACATGAACTACACAAACACTATTTTCACTTGAAAATACAGCATGGATCAAGATCTCCAGGTGCCTGTAAGACAGACACAGACAGTAACACCATCAAGCACCAAATGGTGCAAAGGAGTAACTTTATTTTACCACTTCTTTAGTAACTGCATCAGGTGGAAACAATTTCAGGTAGGTATTTACAGATGGGGTCTAAACACCAGTATGCTGTAGCTAGATATCCTTGGTCTGCTCAGGATCAGGTTTTGGTCTCCTGATCAGAAGCTGACATAAAAAAGCCTAACAAGTACACTAGAGCACTCTGAAGTGTCCAGATTTAAGCCCTCAATGCTACCAGGTTTCTCAAGACTATCAAGAGTCAGATGCAGAGTTCATACAGAAGAATTCCTGCAGCTGATGTTGGAGGCTTCAATCCTGGTGAATGGAACACAGGAGAGGCAGATGGACATCAGAACACACCGAACTCAATGGGTGAATTCTGATGTTAAAATACTACTGGGTTGTCCCCAGGCAAGGGCTACAGACTAAATTCTAAAGAGCAGGAAATTTGAAGGAAAGCTGCAAAAAGCCCACTAGAGCTGAGCCACAAAAATGACAGAGTTAAGCTACCAAATCAAAACAAAGTAAGATTGCAGGTTATGGCACAACTTGCATGAAACAGCAGCAAAAAGCTCTAATTTAGGCAAGCAGTTAATAGTACATGCTGCTGATTATGGACAGGGAGAAAATCAATGATAGGATTTCTTGTATACTCCTCCAGGTTAAGACGAAACAAAACAAAAACCAGAACACAACACTATTTAGTTTTCAGCACTTAGCATCACATACATGCAAATAACTCAAGATATATGTACATTAATTTACCTGCATCCACTGCTAGATTGATTATGTTCAGAGTTTGCAATTATCAGACTAAATGCATTTGAGCTTGAGCTAGAAGAAGGAAAGATAAAAAGAGGTTAGTATTAGAAACTTAACTTCTAGTTCATTCTAGCTCTGTATTTTCTTATTAATGTCTGGATCTCTAGGAAAGAGAGCTGTAAAAGCTCTACCTTGTATATAGCTGTTACACATTTGTCTAAGAAGGTTATTCTTACTGTACCTTTGCTCTGTACACAGAGCTATTATTTATAAGATTAAAATAGCACAGTTGCATAAAAACACTGATCCTTTTTGATGTACAATTACAGAAGTGGGTTTACAAGAAAATACTTAAGCAAATTAAACACGCAATGATGAGAAGAAACAGTCAAATTAAGATGGTGCCATGAAACACAAGAAACATCTTCATGAATTATAATACATTACACAATTTATATTATAATTTAACTAGTGGACAAAAACACTCAGCTTCACTCTGAAGTGACACTTTATACCGTAGTTATTATTCAGAAATTTTAGTCAGATGGAAAGAGCCTTTAGTGGCAAAAAAATAAATGAAATTTATTTAATATTTACTACTACCTTTTCTGACAGTCTGAAGATTCCATGAGCATTGCTGAATCTTTGCCATTTTCATCAGATTCATGGCCATGAGAATCCTGCCCACTTGAGTAGTTTTCATTTGTGTCATTTCCACTGAAGTCATTTCCACTGGATCCACTGCTCATTTCAATGTCTTCCTGAAGAACTTCATGAGAGTGTTCAGGCTTTGTCTGAATTTCTGAATCTTCAGCAATCATCTGGCTATGGTTATTTGCAAGTCCTGAATAATCACTCATTTTCTGTTCCTCTTTTGAACAGAACGATGAAGAAATGTTTTCACAGGTACTAGGCTGCTGCTCAGGGTTCTGCTTCTCAGTGCTAGAGTAGAACCCTCCGAACTTGATAGAGTCCATGGGACAGTCATTAGAAACACTGCCAAGATCAAGAGCAAATCAAGCCATATTCAGAATTTTCTCTCTGTACAAATTCTGTTTGAAAGTACACACCCACAAATCTGAGGAGGAAGGGAAGGAAGAAAAATACTGTTTTCTTGTTTGTTTTTGCTGAAAATCTGGAATTCTCACAGATTAAAATAAAAGTGATATTCAGGGTTAATAAACTCAGCATTTGAACAGTGAAAAGTTTATGTTAAATATAATTGCAAACACAATGTTTTAGTGTGGAAAAACGTATTTTTTTAGTAAATACCCACACCAAAAAGAAGTGGAAAAAACATTAAAAACTCCTAAAATTTTTAAATATGCACTTATTTTCTACTCTCCTACTTAATACTTGACAATTTTTACTGCCTAGATTGGGCAATAGTTGTTACTATTTTCAGTGAAACCATTCCCTGGCTTCCAGTTTCCCTTGACAAAAAAAAATACCACATTCAGACATCAGAAGATTCCTTACTTGGTTTGGAGGTTGATTATGGGTGCATTTTTTTTTATATACATAGTCTTTTTTTTTCCTTTTAACATTAGTTCTGCCATTTTGACCAATTTTTTTACTTTTTTTTTTAATATAAAAGCAACAGAGATAGGTAGAACAAACATATAGTAGGAACTGGGAAACTAAGTACATAAACTCACTTATTTATCAACAACAAAAATTCTAAGACACAAATAAGCCTGAGGATAATTTTATCTACTGATTACCACTAATTCAGGAGGGGGGAAATCTGCATTGTTTAGAGCAGCAAGCCTAAAACAAAACAAACCCCTGCTTCTAATGTACCAGCCTCAAAATCAGAGTGCATGCAGAAATGAATTAAGAACATACTATTGCTGAAAAGCCATCACAGGAGAAGTACTAGAGAGCAGTTCAATCAAATAATGCAAGACACTTAATCTGACTCATTTCCTTGTCTATTTCAGCAACCCACAGAGGCAACAATACTGCAAAACCATGAACTAAAATTCTCTGAACAATGTAATTCATCACCAGGGGGAAAAAAAGTTATTTTCAAAACAACAGAACTGTTTGTTCCTCCTTTTTTGTTCCTTTAATATATTCAATATTACAATTATTGACTAATAAACCTCTGACTGGAGTAACAAAGCCAGTGAAAAATATCAGCAACTCAGTTTTGCTATTATTAACAGCAGCAGCTTCCTTTTACACACAAATATATATATATATTTAGAAAGCCTGCAACAGAAAACATGAACTTAATTTAAAACACACTATGATTTAACTCCCTTCTCCCCCCAGAAAACATTGAAACTGTTTTCTTACCCACCTAATTGCTGTTTTTCCAGACATTTTACATTTACTTTGAGTTTTTCAGAAGAAAATACTACTTGTCTCCTTGATTGACCAAAGTAATATGCAAGATATCTGTTTTCATTTGAAAGAAGAAGTGTAGTTTAAGGACATTCATTTAAGCTATCAGCAATGGTATACAAGCATAAATTAAATTTTTTTTTTGCTTTACAAGATTATTCACTAGTACTTTGCTATAAGCAATGACATAAAAACCTCTGGGTAGAGTAAAAGAGACTGACATTTCACTTCTGCAGGTATTTACTTCAGGTATTCTAGACTAAACAGAGAACCTGTTATGCCACTGTATCGAACAGTAGCATACAGGCAGGAAATTACACTTTAGTAGCTCTGTCTTCTGGGCTAGGTAAGCCACTTCTGTCTTTTAAAACTACATAACAAACATGCAATAAAAGGCTATTTACTCTTAGATGAAACTCTATTATTATTTCACACTGACACATACTCTGGTGGCCAATGATTAGCTAGATCATACCGTTTTTCTCTGATTTAATCTCTCTGGTAGACAGAGCTCACACTTGCACTTGCCTCTCTTAGATAGACATTTAAATGAAGTTATGTTCCTGAATATAGCCCACTCTCGCTACACATGCTCCTAATGAGTGCTTAGTGGTACCCATGCCACTACCTGAACTATCATGGCCAGGGCTTAACAAAGCAGGGCTGGCCACAACTCATTTTGGCTGAGTGAGTGAAAACATCAAAGGGCTCAAGAGAGTGAATATAGAAGGTGGCACTGAAAATACTGATTTGGACAGCTCACAAGACAAACTGTTATGGTAAAGCTGAGCATCATTTTATACATGTTAATCCGTTATCACCCAGGAAATGTTCTTACCACTATTTCAAGTATTGCACAAGTAAGAGCATCTGTCTGGCTTAGTGAACACAGTCTCAAGCCAGTTCTCTTGTGTCATCTGTGCTATTGTTTCTCAGAGGGCACGGAGGCTGTGAAGTTCCACAGAGGTTTCAGTGAATAAAGGTACTCCAGCAAACTACTCAGTGGGAGATCTGACATGTAGGAATTTAAGGCAAGACTGAGCACTATTAATACTATATTCTGTGCCCAAGGTAGGGTTTTCCTTCTATTTTTCTGCTCAAATGGTATGTAGAAAAAGCTTCAGATACAAGATATAAATGTACTGCTGTAATCAAAACAACACTATCTGCCAGCAAACTATGTTACATGATTTCTTTAGAGATAGAGGGAAAAACCTCTGAGAAAAGAAAAGCAGCTGTGGGCTGCCAAACTTAAATCCCTTTAGAAAAACGATGAAAATCACTAGTGATAGGTTTGTAAACATTAACCATCAGAAGAATCTTAACACAGCCCTACATTGACTAAACATCATTAGTCCAATGTTACAAGAAACACATATCAGGAAAATTGTAGTTTTTATGGGAAGGGCGATTGTACCACACCCTTCCTACCCTGAATGCAAATATTTTGTATTTCAGTCTGTAAGCCTGAGAAACCTCTTCTCCTGAATTCTGAAGCCAAAGACTATTACATACATCCCAGGATTTTCAGCCCTAAGAAATGTCCACAAGTATTTTTTTGGAAAAACCTTTCCTTGGAAAATTATTTCCCCAAAGCTTTTTCTAAAATCTCTGGAAGTTTTAAGAGTCAATTAAATTATGTCACAGCTAGCAGGTAGAGTCTTACAGTTGGAAATTATGAGCTGTTAAACCACTAATGAGTAATTTTTCCCACCTCTAAATATCACCTATTTTTCATCTCCTCTCCTATTTCCCTGACACCTAGGCTAGCTTCTGCCAGGTATCGGTAGGAAACAACAGTGCTTCCTTAGGTGGCAGAGAATCACTCCAAAAATACACATATAGGCTGTACAGTAAGTTTTGAGGAATTTCCTATGCCTCCTTGAACAACAGTTGACTAATACAATGACAAGTAAGACTTCATGGATTTTTAAATTATTTTTAAGCTATGAGTTCAAATTAAGAAAGTCATCAACAGAAAAAAAAAAACAGCACACAGATTTTCTCCCTCTTGATACCTGGCAGCAACTTATGTCAGGAAAATCTTTAAGTTGTGTTACTTCTACCTCTAACTAGCAAAATGCCAGAGCTTCTGCAGCTTGGTCCACAGTAAGTACCTACACAGTTCCTCCATGACAGTGGATACAGTTTGGAATCCCAAGACAGTGGTGCCAGAAACAAAAATCATTGTCCCAATAATGGAGAAGATACCAGTTTGACCTTTTTAAAGAGATCGTTTGAGAACTGGCTCAAGTCCTTGAGGTAGAACAGTATTTTTAGGCAGGACTGGAATATTTATGTCACTGAAAGTCAGTCTTACACAAAATTTATTTTGTTCAAAATCTCAAAAGCCAAAGGCACATACCAGAGTAAGGAATACAGGAAGAATAAATAGGAAGGAACAAGAAAAAAATCATTGTAGAGTTCCAAGAGCCTCTGGGCATAGATGGAAGAGGAGTGTTTCTGTAACAAGAGTTTGTGTAACAAACAATAAAGACAAGATACCTCAAGGTGGCAATGTTAATCTGTGCCGCAAGTTTGGATAGATTTTCTACAAAGAGATTGGAATAATTGGGGGGGAAGGCAGTCTGGAAATCACCCTACACCATTCTCTGTGCCTATAATTTTAGATAAGAACTAATGCATTGAGTTAGACTTTACTCTCAAACAGAGGAAGACCTTAAGTGGAACATCTGTATGCATGTGCAAGCACCGTGCAAACGCTTCAGGAGCACAGAGGGTCAGTCATCCCAGAGAGATAATTAACATTGAAACTTATCTCAGTCAAAATGCCGTAATAAATTGCACATCCTCATCCCACTTAAATGCTTGAATAAATTTCCAATCAATAACTAAATAAGAACAAAAAGGTAAAAGCTAACATGCTTTGCCAGCCTCCTGCTACCACAGTTTCAGGAAGGTAACTTCATCTCATACCAAATTAATTAAGCAAGTGCAGACAGTTATGTGGGAACAGAGTAAGATCTCTTTAGAGTGAGAGACGTATATTAAGCCAGTTTGTTCTTTATTTTCTGCAATGTCTTTCTGAACTTTTAAGGGAGGTTGTCTGTTTTGATTCTGTAAATGAAACTTTTTAGTCTTAAGTTGGCACCAGTTAAGCTTGATTTTGAGACAACTGCCTCACAAGAACGTTCTACTCTTCTAGGCAGAGCAAAACTCCCAAAGGCACTCTGGCAAAAATTAGAACTCTTTAAAGTCTTAATGCTGTCTATGAAATAGGCGAAAGACTTCCACCAAACACTAAGGACAAATGTAGGCATTAATACACCAGGTTAGATGTGCAGAATATGTCTTCTGGTTATTCATTAGTTGCAGAAGCTCCTTTATCCTGCAGTAAGACAATGGAATAAGCCTGAACTTTGATAGTGTCCCAGGAAAACATCAAAATATGTATGGATAAATACTTGAAGAATAATGACAGAATCATTTTGGTTGGAAAAGACTGGCAAAATCATCAAGTCCAACCATTAATCCAGCATTACCAGGTCCACCACTAAAGCATATCCCTAAGCATCACATCTACATCTTTCTCAAATACTTCAAGGGATGGCAACTCCCCCACTTCTCTGGGCAGCCTGTTCTAGTGCCTGACAACCTATGCAGT